AACATAAATATGCATGCCATATATTAAAATTTGATTACGCTGAGGTAAGAAGTAAATAAGATATGGAGAGGGCAGTCCTTTACAATCTAAGTGGAAGGGTTGGGAGACATTAGCCAGAACAGACTTTGTGGCCTTTCGCTGGAAACCACAAGTGGCTGCTGGAGGCCGAGGAGGGCTTATGCTCTAACAGAGCAGGTCAAGGGCCTGACAGCTGCAGAGACCAAGAGACTGAGGCCCAGAGAGACCACAAAGCTAGCTCATTCAATTTGGTAATGGGGCATATTTTGTGGCATTGCATCTTTGAAATGACAGATACTGTTTCTGTTTTGTGTTTGTTTTTTTTTCTTTTGAAGTTATACTAAAAGTTACTTTTGAAACTGCTATCCCTTTTTAGCTGGACTACAGGGAAAATAAGTAAAAGGACTTGAGTTTTGTCTGCCCTAGTGTCAGAGGGAAGCTGTTGAGGACTCATGGAGGCAGCAGAAATCCCAGAGTTGGCTCCAGTGGGAGTCAGGGCAGGCCTTCCACCTCGATAATTTCCTTTCCAGATTTTCCTAGCTTCTAGGAATTTATTTGGGTGTGGCAATGGAGACCATCCTCAATAAGCAAAGGGATCTTCCATTTAAACTCCAGCCATGGATCTGCAACCCCCCAGGCTCCACAGTGGAGTTTCCTCTGATTTTAACCACAGACCATTTCTGTGGCTTGACCTAAAGTGTTAAGGCCTCATTTTCCTATTTTCCTTCCTTATACTGCACAGGCTGAAGTCCCAGCAAGCTCCCCATGAGCTCTCACGGTGCCCATTGGGGCTCTGGGCACAGCCCTATCCCAGGCCAGGCCAGATGGGTCAAGGGCCACTCACATCTATGAGCCGTTGCTGGTCCTGCTCAGTCATCTCGGACAGCCTGTAGTAGCGGCCTGCCAGGTCCCCTTTGAGGCCCTCCAGGGCCGTGATGGCCACGTTCTCCACCTCCCTTCGCTCAGCCCGGCTGCAGGCAGGCGGCAGGCTCAGCCCACGGATGCTGCGGCCTGTGCGCACCCGAGAGGACAGCACGTAGCGCTCATCAAACTGCCCATGGGTGATCTGCCGAAGCAGAGAGAGCATGGGGTTACCACGGCCAGCTGCGGACTACAGTCCTGCCACCACCACCACGGGGCTCCCCCCTCCCCGCACTGACATGCAGCACCCCGTGCAGGGGGCCCTCAGACCCTGTGCAAAACATGCTGGACACATGTTGGAATTACGGGGGCAGGGGCACTGTAGCTAAGGGGCACAGCTACTTTATGCAGCGCCATCCGGAATCCTTTACCCCACTAGGTGTGGCATGAAAAAAAAGTAACTGCTTTAGGAAAGAGTTCTCCCTGGCCAACACCACCCTACTGTCCCTTATTAAAGAAAACAAAGACTTCAGGACCTTTCTGACCTTCTCCTTGCCCCTCCAGGGAGTGTGCTGTGCCAGGGCCATCACAGAGCTTGCAGAGGGCATCTGACCCCGGGGGAGTCGCCCTCCTCTAAGGTGTTCCTCACTTCAGGCTCTGGAGTGCCGGCTGCATGGGAAAGCAGAGGGGCCTGCAGCCTACCTTGGATGCGTCCAGATCCGTGGGGTGCTTCATCACCCTGGGGTCATAGCCATTGTGCCTTAGTTTGATGACAGGATCAAAAAGGTCAGCAAACACCTGTAGAAGGGAAGATGCACCTGTTTCCACTTTAATTGATTCATCTGTTAAAAGGTGGTTCCTTTCATTTGCCCCTTCTTACCTTGAGGCCCAAAGCTGACGCCCTGCTCTGTCATTCTCAGTATTACCACGCAGGAAACGGGGGTAGTAGACTGATGGTCAATGAATAATAATAACAGGCCACCTCCCTAGTGATTCTGCCAAGCTTACTGCCATTGAGACTGAGCCAGAAAATCGTGTGTCTCCCCCCGCCCCCCCGCAGCAGTTCTTGCCTTTATGAGATAAAAGAAGCTGTTTTGTGGTCAAAAGACATAATCAGGTTCTAGGGTTTGAAAATAATAAATTCACGGAAAACCAGCTACACTGCAAGAAAAGTGCACAGCAGCAGTCAAGGCAAGGCCAGCACCTCTCACCCTGTGAGGTCCTTCCCTAGCCCAAACTATCGTGTGCAAAATCTATTTAAAAAAAAAGCTTCGGGGATATCCTTTAGGTAAAATGATGTTAAGAGTAGTCACAACAGAGGACCTGCCACCTTTAGGGGCTGTGGGAAGTGGGTGGGCAGGGGGTGGGGGCACACTGGGTCCAGGGAGCCAGGGTAGCACACTGCTGTATGTGAATGAACCACCAGTCCTGTTCATGCAGGAGGACCCATCCTCCTCTTTATGGCTGTTCTCCCAGAGAACTTCCCTCAGCTCCCTGCAACTTGTCATGGTGTCGAGGTTGCTCTGTGACGAGGGCTGCCCTAGCAGCAGACCATTCTATGCTTCTGTCCCAAGGATGAGGACACGGAGATCATGGGATTCCTCTGAGAGACTTGGTGAACTCAGTCATCTAGGCTACAATAATCAGTAATTCCCAAGCTAAAGACACAGACCATCCTTCTTCCTCAATGAAGTCTAGCCACAAACACACCATCTCCTAAGGTCTTATTGGTGAATACATATCACCAATAAATTACAAGATTTTTTTTTTTTCCTGTACCAATTCATCCCCTTGACAGTCTCAGAGAGCCCTGTCATGGAACTCATCCCTCCATGAGTGGGATACCAGAGCAGCAGCAAAGGAAGCCTTGTCCCTGGGAAGCGGTAGTCCTCCTTGTTCCAGAAAGCATTCCAGATGTTCTGCTGAAGCTGGCTTCCCTTTATGAATGCTGGCCCCGCAGAGAAGAGCAGGACTCTGCACCCAGAGTATCCTCCCACCCCCACTCTGGAATCAGCAGCCAAGTTTTACCTCGTACGACTCCTCATCACCAGCCACCATGCCCACAGTCTTGATGAAGGGGTGGCCAGGGTTGTCCACTCCAGTCTGGATACACTGGTCTAGGGTGTAGCCGTTGGGCGTCGCCTTGTTGCGGAGCTTGGCATAGATGGCCGGGGTGAGGCACTCGGCCATGCAGTTGTTGTGCTTTCGCAGATCAGGGTAGTCTGCGCTGCGGGCAGAGGAGAGGGGCGCTCAGTGAGCACCGCCTGAGGGAGGCGGCCTGCGAAAGGACTTGGCTTCTGGCCGTCCTGCCACCAGGCTGTCTTTAGCCAGAGGGCCTGGGGACACGTGGCTAGGAGTCCTGACTTAAGTCAGCCAGATTAAAAAAAGACAAACAGTCCCCAGAACAGCCCGAGAAAGGGGCGTGGCCCGGCCTAAGGATCCCATACTGCTGGCTGCAGGAGCCCACACACCATGGCTTATTGGAAAGAGGAGACACAGTGAAAATGACAAAATCAATGGACATCCCATGTGGCTTTTTTTTTTTTTTTTTAACCCAGAAGTTCTGGTAAAATGTAACAAGCACATTGTGGTGCCTTAGGTCTGTGGTGGAGAGGCTGGAAACCTGCATTTGGAGGTACCTAGAAATTCCATTATTTATCTGTCCTCTACGGTGACGCTCCATGAGAGCAGATTCTGCTCTGTCGAGAGCAGTGGCTGGCTACTGAAACAGGCATTCTGTAAGTATCTGTCGGAACGGTACACAGAAGGCAATAAAGCGAGGCGCTCTCTGATCCCAGGCTGTGTACTGACCAAACAAAGGGGATTCTGGACCACCACAAGCTCAGACACAGGTCATCTCCCTTCAGGAGTTCCTGAGGTACGTGGTAGGTGTTGATAATTCCCTCAGAGATCTGGATCCCCCCAAGAGCCAGCGACTATCTCTGAGAAGAACGGCAAGTCCTCCTCATCTGTCTCTACACCTGCCTCTGTGGGACCTCGTGGGGTCAGCACCGCGTGCCAACTCTGCAGTGCATGCCGTCTCATCCGTGGCGAGGAGCCAAGGACTGGGAAATCCTGGCCATCTTCATGCCACTTTCCCACTTTCCATCTGCAGTGGACTTTAAAGCTGGTACTTAATATCAGTACTACACCACCATTCTCCAGAAGGTGGGACAGCAGTGAGTGAAGTGTGGGTCTGGAATCGGGGTCCTGGGGTTTGCACTTGGCTGCACTGGGCGTGTGAACTTGGGCACTGCTTCATTGTTCTAAGTCTCCGTTTTATCACAAAGGGATGCTAAGATGAATAAAACAGATACTCCCATGTACAGCAGTTAACACACATCAGAGTGCTCAACCGATATTCAACTGGCTCCCCGGCTCTGGGCAGGAATGATGACACAGCACTGCCCTGGATTCCCCACAGGCCACTGTGCTCCCTGTGTGTCGACAGTGATTGTCAGTTTGATCTGGTCCTTCTCCAAAGCAACAAGAAGGACCCTTGCTGACAGTTTCGGGCAGGGGAAAGCAGATTTCTGGCTGACATGTTGAGTTCTTACCTGGGCGGGAACAGCCGATGTTGCTCCCGAGCCTCGGCACGCACGTTCTGCCGGTTCAGCAGATACCCAGTGGTCAGGGCACTGGTGCCCATGGTAGCAAGTAACAGAGAAGCATTGCGGCCAGTGAGCAACTTCGAGAAGGCACTGGCCATCCTTCCTCTTGGATGAGTGTCTGAAAGCAGAGAAAATGGATCAGACAAGCTCCCGGGGTGGACCCAAGCCGCAGCCCAGCGATGGCTGGACAAGAGAAAGGACTGCAGGAAGCACTGCCTCTCTTTTAGTTTGGTTTTTCTCTTTCTTCCTTTCTCACCCATACCCCTTGACACTGCTTGGGGAGATGTGGGGAGGTGTAGACACTGTGAATGTCCAACTGCATGAAATCCATGGCCATTTTCTCCAGTTAAGAATATGGGGAAAATAAACAGAGGATTTCTGTTGCTGGCTGTGTGACAGACCAGGTGCTCCTTTGGACCCCACCACTGCACAGTGAGGACAGCCTGAATAGGTCAGGTTCCTGGGCTTGGAAGAAGTAGAGGAAGTCTGAGTCCCACCCTCCCACTCCACTCCTGGCAAATGAGCTGGTGGCAGAGCTCAGGGTAACAAGCGAGGAGGTTTGGGTTATGTTGAGGACAGATGTCCATGTGAGCACTAAGGTCAGGATACCAACAGTGGGGTGGAGAGCTCTATCTGTGACTCCCCTAGTAAGCTAGGACCCTTAAGAGGGGCTCAAGTGGTCCAAGGTCACCAGACCCCCCATTCCCTGGCTCCCAGCAGAGGCAGAATCAAATCCTAAGGAAAGTATACTCAGTTAAGGCTCTGGTTTCCTACAGATGAAGATCAGGCAACAAGCTCTCAAAGATCAGGAGGGATTGGGGGTCACAGAGTCAAACTATCTTTTAAAAATGAAAATAAAGAGAAGATCATTAACAAAAGAACCACTAAAATATATACTTAGGAAGAAACAGACATTAGAAGGACAGCCTGAGATACACATAAAATGTAGAAAACATATGTAAGTATTTGTTTAGATGTATACAATATCAACAAAGAATGAAAATCAGGATAAGCCCCTGCCCAGATAGATTGCCTGCTACGTCTGCTATTGCCCAGAGCTGGGAAGGACCAGTTACAGCATCACCCAGCAGGGAGCTATTTAATGTGGGTTGTTGAGTGTGGAACAGTAGAACAGGTCACTCTAAGTACTCTCTGTGATGCCCGAATACAGGGAGTATGGAATTTTTTCCCTAATATTTAGAAGGTTCCAAGGACTCTGTCTCAAGATCCTCCAAGCTTAGCACCAGCAAAGAGCCCCCTGATGTGTATGGCTGTGGCTGAAAACCTGGGCCATCCAGTGGAAGACAGACTTTTAATAAGGTGAGGTTGGCATAGCCTTACACATAATTCTTATTATTGTGTTATGTTAGTCACAATACATCATTAGTTTTTGATGCAGTGTTCCAAGATTCATTGTTTATATATAACACCCAGTGCTCCATGTAATACGTGCCGTCCTTAATACCCACCACATAATTCTAAGAGCAGCCTTTTGAGGTCCACTTTCTTCCTGGATTGTATTTGGGGAACTGGGATCAGTCTATGAACTTTATGCTTCCAGAACCTCCACCTAGAACTCTCTATTTAACATCTGTTTGAGCAATATTAGGGAGAAACTTGAATATCTCAACCAAAAGCACCAGAGTCCTTGAAAAAATTTAGGACTTTTTGTTTCTACGCTAACCCAGGAAATCAGAGAGCCTTTCTTCTGTGCTAATGTCTAAAGACAATTCCCGAAGTCTTAAAGGCAACAGAAATTAGTAAGCCTCAGACAAGATAAATGGGCCATTTTTTAAAGTTGTCCTAGGGACTTGGACTGGCCCAACATTAATCTCATCACACGACTTAGGGCTGTTACTGGTCTCCTTCCAAGAGTAGGTGAGGGCTCCTCAGAGAACTGTCCCACTACTTGCCGGCTCTTGCAGGTGGCGGGCAGCACTGAGGTATACCTTTCGGCTCTGTTTTAGCTGCGTCCACACCCTCCATCTCCTCCCTGAGCATGTCATCTGAGGTTTATCATAGAACTCATCAAAGTAAAGGAAGCTTTATCTAAATTCTTTTCCGGAAACATAAGGACCAAAAAAAATAAGCTCGGACAGCTCAGACTAAGTCTATTTGTGTCTGAGCTTGACTCATATGGCTTGATCTTTATTTTTCTTTCCTTAACTTGCTTGGACACTGACATGTGTTTTTGACACTGCCAATCTTGAGCAGAGTCAGGAGGAAGAGGAGGGCATGGTGTCATTTGCGCCCCACTGAAAACTGGTGCTCTTCACAGGTCTTCCACAGGAGAGGGATGTGCAGGTGGGTGTTTGACTCAAAACAGTCAGTTTGACATGTCCTATCTATATTTTGTTTCTGGAAGTAATAATATACATCCAAGAGTTCTAACATTGTCCTCTTGTCTGAGCCATGACGTAGGATTCCTGCCAATAATCCTATGGAGGCTTTGCCTGCCGCAGGCTAAGCAGCCCTGGAGCTCTAGTGCTTTTGCTTGGATTTCTTGTAGAGGATTGACACAGTCTCAACGTTTTGGTGATGTGAAGAATTCCGGCTTCCTTGACTCTATGTTGTTCTCTTTCCGGGACACACAGAAACACTGAATTTCACTGTTGAGATCCCAACCAATCAGCTTCAGAGTGACAGTGAACTAAGGATCTCATCAGGCTAGGGACCCTGGGAGCAGTTGCTCCCCAAAGACCCAGAGCCAGGCTTGCAATAAAACCATTTTTCTGGGTTCCCTGGGTGGCTCAGTGGGTTAAGCCTCTGCCTTCAGCTCAGGTCATGATCCTAAGGTCCTGGGATTGAGCCCCGCATCAGGCTGTCTGCTCAGGGGGGAGCCTGCTTCTCCCTCTCTCTCTCTGCCTGCCTCTCTGCCTACTTGTGATCTCTGTCAAATAAATAAATAAAATATTTTAAAAAAATTTTTTTCCTTGTGACTAAATGATATCTCTGCTGTGTGTTAAAAAAGTTAGTCTGTGAAAAGCTGCACAAGCACAACATTGCTTTGTCTTACAGACTCTGTGACCCAGGAGCCCCCATATGTTCCATAAACACTATCTGCAGCTGGAGCCTCTGCCTCCAAGAGGCTGGATTTGTTACTTGCTTCGATGGTGAGATGGTAGGTAACCTGTGGCATAGGTGAAGCCGGAGAAAGGTATGTAAGAGATAACCCATGTGCGCCAAAGTGGCCATGCTTCGGCTTGCCTAGTTTCCAAATGTGGTGGTTCTGTAAGTCAGTCTATCTCTGGTGAAGCCACCAGGACCAAAGTTTGAAGCCTAAAGCACTCTGAGGCTTCCTAGCAAAGCTTTTTTATTTTTTTGATTCTCTCCCTGCCACAGGCATTAGCATAACCTACTGAACTGTTACGTGAGGAGATGGTTGGAGAGAGGAAACAAGGTGCCGGAACAGCTATGGTGCTTCTACAGGGACAAAGGCCTCAGCGTCCAGACACCCTTAGGAGGGGGGTGGCCTCTTCTTTAAAGCTTGGCTTTTGCGGTTCTTTTTGCCTGACAGCTTGCTTGACGTTAGGCATCATTCCCAGTTTCTCTGAATTATACTCTGTTAGTTTCCTTCTTGGCACTCATCCCCACCTCTCATTTTATCTGCTTTGCGTACTGACCATCTCCCCCAGATAAATAAGCCCCCAAAGCAAGGAACTTGGTTTCTTTTGCTCACTGCTGTATCATCATTGCCTAGCACAGCACCTGGCACTTGGTGGGCTCTCAGTAGCGTTATTTAATAAATGCTTTCTGCACTGCTTGCTGGTGGAGGAAGCCACTCTAGGCTTGCCAGGACCCACACAAGAATGCTGGTGTCAGCTGATTGGGCACAGTGGGGGCTGTGAGGCCGGAAAACTGGGCCAGTCAGAGGGCGAGTGGATGGGCCCAGAGGCACAGGCAGTGGAGAAGTTCGGAAGCCAGCTTCCCTGAGCCTTAGGATACCCAGTGGCCAGTGTTCCCCGGGAGCAGGATCCGGACTTATTTTGGGGGAAAGAGGCAAATGTCAACTAAATAAATTCACTGGGAATTTTATGAAAGCTCACACAGCACCAGTACACACATATTCAGGGTCTGCCATGGGGCGCAGAACACCTGGGACACAGTGCACCGGCCTGACTTTCAGGTTAAGAGCTCTAGAGCTCCATACTGAGCTCTCTGATTGATCTCTTATTACACACACACTCACCATATAGCTAACATATTTTTAGTACAGATATATCAAATATATCCTATGTAGGAGAGATGTATTTTAAAATATCAAAACAGAGAGGGAGGCAAACTGTAAGAGATGGCTAATCATAGGAAACAAACTGAGGGGTGCTGGGGGAGAGGGGTTGGAGGATGGGGTAACTGGGTGATGGGCATTAACGAGGGCACGTGATGTAATGAGCACTGGGTGTTATATGACTGATGAATCACTAAATTCTACCCCTGAAATGAATAATACACTATGCATTAACTAAATCGAATTTAAATTAAAAAAAAATAAAATAAAATCAGTTTACTTACTGTGCTTTTGTGCTGGCGCCATAGCCATACTCATTTGTTTCAGTAAAATTATTGCAGTTTGATTAAGTATTGCTTCTTACTGCCCCTCGAGTTTGGACTTTACTGTCCATCTTTCCTGTGACTGAACCAGCGCCTGGTGCCTCAGTCTCCACGAAACTTCTAGCCCAAGGTGACTGCTTGCTGTCTGAGCTTCCACAGCACTCCTGGGCTGCTCACTCATCGCCACGTACGCTACACAGGTGTTTGACACCTGTTGGTGAGCCCAACTGTCCTGTAGCTCTTGTCAGGATAAGGAACTGCCCACTAGGCGCTTTTTTCCCATCCAGTGGCTAAAATCTTCAAGTACAAGAACCTGCCTACCTGTCACAGATCATTGCATGTCGTAGCTGATCAATAAACATTTCTTCTCTGACTTATTTTTAAGCTATGCTTTGCCTGATTTCCAGAAGAAAGAAATCTTACCAGCCTCCTGCTTATCTCTCTTCAGACAATGCATGTAGGTCTCCAGGAGGGGAACCTTTCCCTTGGGCTAGTCCCCCAGGCACCTTTCCCCCTCTGGCCTGGCTCCTTTGCTCCCAAGCACTTCTCACTTTTAATTTGCTATAAAGCTCGGGCCTGGTATCTAAGCCAACCTAGGGTCAAGTTTGACCCGGGAAGCTAACTTACAAAACTAGGGGAAAAAACCTATTTACATTAAACACATCCCTTTCAGCTATTGATTTTGAAATCCTATCATAAAAGCAACCAGGCAAGGCTGGTAGGCTGGATTTCAGCATTTCCCTGCTCAGGTTCTGGGTCTCCACAAGCTGCCAAGAGCAGAGCAGCCCAAGGCAGACTCCTCTTCTCTCAACCCTAACAGGCCGGGTCTGTGGGAGCCCACGCGGCCCGACCTCGTCTGTTTCCCAGGGAGATCTGGTACAGGGTGCCCCACCGGTAACAGATGGAGCCTCCCAGCAAAGCATGAAGCCTCACGTGCATGTCCTTCCTTCCATCAGGAATCTTTTGACTGAGTAGGCAGGTGGGAAGGAAGAGGCAGATGAGAAACCAGTGTTGGGTATCGGAGAAATTTAACTAAAATCTGTCATCCAGAAATTCCTCTCCACAAAATACAGGAAAGAATCTTTATCACCAAGCATTAAGGCAGGCTGTGATGCATCTCCCAGGCAGTCCACGAAAGAAATTGCAAAACTAGAACAAAACCTTACCCTTTTAGAGAACCAGGCTGATAGAACCTGTCTGCGTACATGTTCTCGAAGTAACTCAGGTAAGACATGACAGCACTATTTGTCACACAGCGCTTACTCCAAGTTCACCCGAAATTGGGGTGGCGTTTGTGTTAGCTAATTGCCTTCAGCCAAAGGAAAAATAAGGTTTTCCTGTCTCTTCAACAGCAGGTAATTTTACAACTTGGAGCCTGGCCCCTAAGTTGAACCACTAGCATCAATCCCCTCCCCCTGCCAGGGGCAGATCTTTCTTAATGTGTACATTTCAAAGAGATGGCTCCCAGGCCCTTGAGAAAAACATTTCTAGGTTGTAAAACTGGCTGGAGGCTCACTTCCTCTTAAAGAGATTTATATACATCTCAAAGGGACAGAGAAAGAATTTACAAGTTTTCTAAAGGAAATATCCTAAGAAAAGGGGAGCGGTGGTTTAGTTACCTCCCTTCCCTCACATGGGGGGAGTACTGTGTCAGGAGCTCAGCAGGGCTCCAGCAAGGGTGGACATCCCTCAGAACTGATCCCACAGTTTGAAGAGACAAGACCCGAAGACCATAGGATGGGGTCACAATTTTTATTGGTTCTCAAGCTCACTGGCCTGCACATGAAGATTTGTAATAAATGCTGGGTAAGAGAGAGAATGAACATAGAGACCCCAAGTCAGAAGGGGTCATTTAGCTCAGCCTGAATGCAGTCGCCCCTATACCTTCAACCCTCCTTAAACACCAGCAGAGCTGGGCACCTTACCACTTCCTAAGGCAACCCATTTCACCATTGGACAACTGTAATCATTAAAAATTTCCCCACATATTCATAAGGTGGGGGGATCAAAATTAGAGAGTGTTTTCAAAGCCAGGTACTTCTCCACAGTAACCCCAAGGAGCAGCTATCTTGCCCTCTGTCACAGATGACGGAACTTAAAAACAGAGAGGTCAACTAAAAGCCCAAGGTCACACAGATAAAGGAAAAGCATATACTGTGTTTCAGTAGCCACTCATTTAAATGAAGATCCTGTTTTTACTTAGAAGATTTAATAATAAACAATATTACAGTATGTTGGGATGGAGCCGACACCCTTATCCCCCAAGGAATACAGCGGCCAGCCAGTTCTAGCTGCCTTGGTCCCTCGTGGTTTCTCAGGGATACTGAATGGTTTCTCTCAGTCAGTGTTGCCACTGGGAGCTCTGGGCTAAGTTGCAAACCAGCACACAGGTTGTTTGTGCTGTTCTCCC